TATGTTAAGTATTTGATAAATGAAATATAATTAATTATTTATTTATAGAACAACTACTATTTGGTATATGAGAGTTGAATTTTTTAGCAAACTTCAATATCTTGTTTTGCCATATTTTCGATCATGATCTTAGAAAAGAAATAATTTAAAAAGGAATCATTTTTTTATTCCCTTATCAATTGATTTGTGTAAAGTGTTAGTTATTTCTTAGTTCCGAAAATAAACATAAATAAAACACACTTATTATTTAGATTTTGATGAAATTTTCATTAAATATTTAAATATTGTATTTAGAGTTTGTTATTTTAGCTATAAAATACGTCATTATTCATTTGATCACTACGGAACATCCAAATGAAGCCTTCGAAACATAACAGATGTTCGTTTTCAAAGTGTGGAGAGTATTGAGAGTGTGGAGAGTATGGAGATTGTGCTAACACAATCCTTTGTATAGCCTTATAGATCAGACTAACGATTTCAAGTCGAATGACTTTGCTAGGACCTGAAATTACAAAGCCTGGTAATTTCGCGCACAACGATGCTAAAGCAGTAGTTATTGTATAGTTTGTTGAACTATTCTTGAAGAACCACAAATCTATCATATCTAAATATATCTTTAATTTTTGTTAAAGAAAAATTGTTAATTCTGTTGTTGTAGTGAAGAATTAACTGTTTGTATCACTCTTTTCTCATTTTGATCGTTGTTTTTCTTGTTATCATTTTTGATAAAAGTGTAATATACCTCCAGATCCAGCTGCCAGAAATAATAGGTTTAACGAAATAAATCGATTTTTTTAAGTGTGGTCTAGAATTTAAATTTTAAACTGGCCATACAGTGTAAAATAGTTATAATTCAAAATTCATAAAACTGATCTATCAAATTTCGTTTACGCACTTAGAAAAACTTATGTCTACATATTTCGAAGCAATTAAATAAAGTGTTCTAATGCTGGAGAAAGTAGAGAATCAAACGACTGTTAATAATCGATTTTATAGGTCATGGGTACAAGTGTCTATTCTAATACTGTTATCAAGCTCAATATTAACTAAATATTAACAAACATTAACAAATAATATCCAACCATTATACAATTATAATTTGATACCCCTACTTACCAAATGTCAGATCACTCAGTGATATTTTGTCAATTTAGTTGTCTTTTAATTATTACTTTTAAAATCTTATTTTCCCAGATCTGACAATTTTGTTTGTTGTTAACATTTATTGAGAAAAAAATCAATCTCATTATTGAAGACAACTTGATGCAATATATACATTCTACAAAATCATCATTTCTCTAGTGACATCTCACAACTTGAGATCTCACAACTTGAGGTCTTGAGATCTCACAACTTGACATCTTGAGATCTCACAATTTGAGATCTTGAGATCTCACAATTTGAGATCTTGAGATCTCACAATTTGGGATCTTGAGATCTCACAACTTGAGATCTTGAGATCTCACAAATTGAGATCTTGAGATCTCACAAATTGAGATCTTGAGATCTCACAAATTGAGATCTTGAGATCTCACAACTTGAGTTCTCACTCATACAGTAGTTATTAAGTGATACATAGCGTTTTTAAATCTTAACTTTAAATAAGAGTTATTTTAAACCTATTGTGGTTTGAGACCCAATTCTATATTGTATATGTCACTGAAGCAGTACTGCCTAATGAGAACTATGAAATGCATAACTTAATATTAGTGATCATGGGTGTAGGAAAAAATGTATTTATAAAAAAATAATTTATTCATATAATTATTTTCAATAAATATTTTTACCAGAAATATGTATTAACATAAATTGCTTCATGTATAATAAAGTATAAGTGTCAACTGGTTTTTTTCTCACATTAATAACACTCTTAACTGAATTTAATTGAATAATATTTAAGTTTTAATAGCTTAATCACTGCATTTTAATGTTTAATATTTAAAAAATTTAAAAAGTGACATATGTAGGTATTATAACGAAATAAAATAAAAAATATAGTTTTTCTTAAAAAATTGAGACATCTATGAGCAATTATTATAAAGTCAGAAGTGCTTAACCTAAAGACGTGTTTTAAAAACAATGCTACTTTTAACCTACTTAAATAGTTTTAACATTTTTTTCAATTATTTTAATTTTTAAAATATGTAGTTAATTTCAAAAAATTTTGTAATAGAGTACGCATTAAGTCAACTGGTCGCGCAAGGCTTAATTAAAAAATAGTTACTTAAGACAAGTCCAAGCTCAAGTCTGTTGACACATGAAAGACTAAGTAACCACGAGCACTAAAAGCTAACATCCGAAACATTTCCACAACTAGTTTAACAGCTAAAAATCAGTTCAAAATCAGCGCGTATTACTAAAGGCCGATTTTGAAAAATATGATTGGTTTACTCTTGAAACACTGAACTGGTAAAATAATTTGATTTGAACTTAGATTAAACGAGTATGCAGTGGTTATCATATATGCAATCAACCAAAATTAAATAATTTTGTTTTTTTTTTTCAATATTTCGAAACTATTCCTTGACTTTCAAGGATGCAAAAAATATTACAGTATTTACAGTATTTGTAAAATTTTAGATATAATTATAGGTATTAAAAGTGCCGTTACAAAATATGTCCACGCGTGAATGCTTAGTTGTAATAATAGTGGAGCACGTATCTGAAAAGTATTTAGCATTTAATTTAAATATAACTGCATTGACTGTGAAAATAGTTTTTATGACCAGATACACTTCACTGATATCTTAGCTACTCGTACTGACTAAACTGTACAATTTGCAGAGGCTTGAATTAACATAATTATTATTATTAATCAAGTGGCGTGTAATAATTTCAATTTAATTCCTTAATTATAGTAATTAAATATTTTTGGTATTTAGTAACATTTCTTAAATATATTTAAATTATAGCATATATGGAGGATAGATTGAGCAATATAGTGTAGTTTAGTGGTAATGAGTCTCTAAATTACTATTATCAAGTTTTTAGTTTCTGGAAGGTTACATCGGATATCGGAAAACTACTTTTACGAAAATATTAAATATATATGAAAAACAATAATTATTTAAAATAATTAAAGGTTGGTATATATAATTTAAAACAAATTACAATACATAGATTGTTTATCACTTCATACAACTAAGCAATAACTGACCTCAGATCTGCATACCTCCTCGAGGAGCCTGTAATCATTCTAAGATTCAATAACGCGGTTTTGGTAAGCCTGTCAGTTTTCTTAAATACCAATATAGAAATAATATATTTTAAAATATTCCAATTATTTAATGTTTAGTATAAGAAAAAAATTCGAAGTTTATTTTAGTAATCATTAATCACTAATAATGATCTTTATCAATCAATTAAGTGTCATTTTAGATATACTAATTAGTCAAAATTATTTAATTATTCGTTATTAATTTTTTGAGACTGCAAGTACCAGGAATCGAACTCATGCTCTGCCAAATTTGAAGCTCAGAGTCAGTGTTAAGTAACCCAAAGCCGTACCTGACCAAAAGTAGTAATTGGCTTGTATGTTCGAACTAGAAGTTCTTGTACCAGCGACTATTTAATACTTCATATTTCAAAGACCCATGGTAAAGCTATGAGTGAAGGGGCGCTCTAAAGCAAACTTTTACTTTGGCATTGCTGACGATCCCGGTATTATATGAATGGTATTTTGTGAACACTTAATAGTTCAATCAGCTAGTTCAATAAGTGCACATATCCGGACACTCAACATATTAGCACTTTTTTGTTGGACATTAGTCGAGTAAATTATCATAGTATAAAGGCACTGTAAATTAAAGTTAAACAGTTCAACAATCTTTTTAAAAGAAATTAGTTATTATTCATTATTATTAATAATTATAGAATCACAAACTGAAACTATAGACATTCTAACAAGATTGCTCTATACAATAATGTGATACAACCACTATAATTGAAATTCCGAGAAGAGGTAAAACTTTTCAAATAATTATTTACTTATTTACTGATGTCCTTCTCTACTAGTGGAGCATAGGGCATCAGCGATTCCTCTAAAACTTATTCTGTTGCCTGCTTCTCTTGTAGTTTTATTCCAAGAGTACTGTCTTTAAGTTCCTGGTCTAGGTTTTTCGTCATGTCTTAGTTGGAACTCTACACCGATGGCTACCTTGTAAATTTCACCGTAGTGCTTGTTTGTTATACGGAATGCTGCTTCCTAAGTGTGTGGCCAACCCACTTCAATTTTCTTCTTTTGATTTCAGTGGCAGCTTGTATTTATTTCTTAGGTCCCATAGATTAGTATATTTTCAGTATTCTTTTTAAGCATTAGTTTATGAATACTTGGATGTGCGATTGAATAGAAGCCACGTTTTTCCAAGTTTCGCATCTGTAGAACAAAGTTGATTTGACAACCGTGTTAAAGGTATGACAGGTAAAGAATGCCAAAAATTGATACACAGAGTCAATAATATAAACATATATCTATAATTATTTAAAATTTTACCCTAACATCTTAAGGGTAAAAGAAACGAAGAGTTGTGACGCATTGTAGAAATTTCGAAGTTCTATTCTATTTAGTCAAAATATAAGGGCGATAATTTTCTAAACCGGCATGAAACCTAACTTTATTCTTTCCATTTAATTGAACAATAAAATAAATCTAATAATTAAAAAATAAAATTAAACCTGTTCCCTTAACACTTAATGTGCTTAATGTATGTATTTAATTCTATTAAGTAATTAAGTAAGTATTGCTAATGAGTTAACAATATTTAATTATATGTAAGAGTTCAGTACGAAATAGTTCAGATCGATAAGATGAAATAAATATTGGTTTTTTTTATAAGCCTCCATTTACACAGACATACATTAAAATACAACTACAAATCTGTGAATATTTAATTGATTTATATAAAAAAAAATTTTTTAAATTTTTTATTCAAACTTTTCATGCAACTTCTTAACAAATTAACATAATAAGCAAATTTAATTCTTTTTATTTAATTTGTAAGGTTTGCAGCGCCAAATTTAAACACATTGAATTCAGTATGACTGCCACTCCAAAATGTGACTTTGAAAAGGACCCCCTCGTCATCATTGCTAAGGAGGATGAAAACGAAGAGGACCGCATAGCGAAGTGTTTTGCAGGACGCAGTTTCTTCATTACTGGAGGTACAGGATTTTTAGGCAAAGTACTTGTTGAGAAACTACTAAGGTACGTCAGTATTGCAAAAAAAAAAAAAAACTTTGCTGCCATCCCTTGTACGTTACACAAAGCAGTTAGTAATGATTATGACTACGTGCAAACAATTAATTGCAATTTAACGGTTCAGTTTATTTACTACTGCTTACTGCTTACATTTAAACAATTTTTCTTTGCAGATCATGTTTCGAATTGAAAAAAATTTACCTATTAATAAGACCGAAAAAGGGAAAAAGCCCGGAGGAGCGCATCAAGGATATGCTCAGCAATGTGGTGAGTTCATTATTGTTGCGTGGTTGTGCTGGCAATGGAACTATGCATGAAGATAAATTAGTTTAACGTGTGATAAATTATAGCATATGCTTTTTCATACCAAATATGAACATTTCCATAAAACTAAAGTAACATTTATTTTATGAGATCTTATCACAATGTAACACCTACGGGAAAAAATATTCTATTTTAAAACAAATAAAAACATTTTTTATTATTTATTTGCAATATTAATATTTATAATTCTATATTATAAATAAGTAAACACTAACAGCCAAAGCAATCAATCCTATATTTTAAATTAGACTAGGGCCGATTTCACATTCGCAACTTAAGTCTCCAAGTAAACTTAAGTGTGTATTTGGTCAGCAAATTTGAAAACTTAAGTATAACTTAAGTCAGTGTTAAGATTAAGTTGAGACTGTGGAATCGTAACCCATAACAAAAATATTGTCTGACTGTTATGGTGCAGAGTGGGTGTAAACCACTACATTGCTTTTAACCATTATTTTGCGGACGGAAATTTTAGTTTAAATTCTGAACCCTAAATCGGAGTTTTAAACTCTGAGGTTGAGGTTTTTAAAGCCACTGAAGTTGATAATCCGTAATATATACGAAAGTAAATTCTCGGAGTTGAAAGCTTAAACTTTAAAATTTAAATCGTAGAAAATAAAATACATTAATTGATAATATAATCCGCAAGTTTTATTTTAAAGCCATTAAGGTTGAGTTTTTAGACCCTAGAGTCTAGTTAACTCATTCAAGTTGGATAAATATAAAAACATATAAAAATATATGAGTTTTAAATTTAAACTAATATTTTCGACCGTACAATACTTAATTCAATGTATGTAACTAATTTTTCCATTATTTCGATATATCAAAAGACATTTCACAGAAATAGTTTTGATTAAAAATCAAAATATTCTTTGGAATAAATTTTTTTATTCTCTTAGTCCTTGAGAGCCTTCTATTTGCAGCAATTTTTTGAATTATAATCGTAATTTTCTATTAGACTACCTACGAAAAATCGCTTAATACTTTTCATACAACCCACTGCACAATATTTTTTTTATCAAGTTAAATTATAAAGAAATGTGTTTATTTGTTACTTTTTTTCTAAATTTGCAGCTTTTTGATAAAGTTAAGGAGCAGCGTGGGGAGCAGTTCATTTATAACCAAGTACAGGCGGTTTATGGTGATGTATTAATGCCTAATTTAGGCATTTCCGAAAAAGATTTGGAGTTGTTACAAAATGAAGTTTCTATAATTTATCATTGTGCCGCAACAATACGGTAAGTAGTTATATTGACATAAAACCTCGACTAGATCTCGATTTTCTGGGCACGCCCATTTGATAATGGACAGCAATTTTGAGAAATTTTTTCCACTATGTTTATATCAATAAGCTTATATGTCGATATATCGAGTTTTTAGGTTCAAAATAGATATCGGTAACAAAAAGTATACAACCCAGTGCGACTAATGTTAAAATTGCAATTACTATTTAACGCTAGGGACGTGTGCGAGTTAGGCTAAGTGGCGTTCTAAATGAGGGAATTCTAAGTTGTGCCGATAATGTAGTGATGTGTCGATACGTGTTGATAAATGGCTAAATGTGTGCAGTGCAAAAAGTCCCAAAAAATCTCCCATTTGATTTAGCATCAATTTAGCCTAACTCGCACACGTCCTAAATGATGAGTGTATTTTTTTAATGTAAGCAATTTAAGAAACTTACGTTTTAATACCTCTAAAAGTAGCCATATCGGCATATATTATAGTGGAAAATGTTGTTCAAAAAGGCTGACTTTACTACAATCCGTTGTAAAGTCGACGTGCTCGTTAAATTAGATTCGCATCAATATTTCGATTAAATAGTGATTAAAATTTTTAAATTTTTTTTTTAATTTCAAAAGTTTCGACGAACCTCTACGTAAAGCGGTATTCATTAATACCCGTGGAACTAAATATATGTTAGATATCGCTGTTACATTTAAACACTTAGATTTATTTGCCTACATCTCAACATCATATTGTCACTTACATGTAAAAACACTGTATGAAAAACCCTATGATCCACCTGCAGACCCTCATAGTGTAATAAAGGCCTGTGAATGGTTAAAAGATGAAGATGTAGAATTAATTGAGAAGAAAATTTTAGGTGATATACCGAACACATATGCTTATACCAAATCATTAGCCGAAGCTTTAGTGGTAGAGAAATTTAACGAACTACCCGCAATTATACTGAGACCATCAATTGTTATACCAATATGGAAAGAACCTTTACCCGGTTGGACTGATAATATTAACGGACCAACCGGCTTACTTATTGGTGCCGGAAAAGGTGTACTACGTACAATGTACTGTAAATCAAATGGTAATGGTGACTTTTTACCAGTCGATATTGCAGTTAATGGACTTTTGGTGTCGAGTTGGTATAATTTAAATAAATTTAATGAACAATTGGTACGGGTAATACATATGACAAGCTCAAATGACATTAAGGTGTCTTGGCAAGAGATAATCGAATTGGGGCGCTGGGTTATTGAGAATAAAGTGCCATTTAATGGTGTTGCTTGGTATCCTGGTGGTTCTATGAAATCAAATTATTATGTGCATTTCGTCTGTATGTTACTATTCCATTGGCTGCCTGCTTTATTTGTTGATGCCCTACTCTGGATATTTCGTTATCCACCAGTGTAAGATTTATAATTTATCAAATTTTCGAATCAATTTAATTAAAATGATTATTTTTGCAGTCTATGTCATGTACAAAAACGTATTACAAAAGGTTTCGAGGTCTTTGAATATTACGCAAATAATGTATGGAATTTTGATAATTCGGTAGCGGTGAATATTCGAAAAGTGATGAATAAAACGGAACGTTTTAATTATATTATTGAGAAAATTGATCTTGATCTGATTGATTATTTTACGCATTCTATTCTTTGCTCGAGGCGAATTATTTTAAAGGAAACGGACGACACTATACCAGCAGCAAAAAGACATATGAAAGTGTAAGTAATTGTTAGGATGAAATAATATTTAATTATATTATATTTATTTATAGAATGTATGCTGTTGATAAATTCGTCAAATTCTTGTGGCTATTTGGACTAGGATACCTAATTTATAAATATTTTCTAATCCATTTCGTTGGTCACACAACAATTGCAAAATCTATAGATAATCTATAATCTATTAAATGGCAGATAATGTATATATATTGATAAACTCTAATATAAGTATTTACTTTTGTACATACTTTGTATTTAAATTAGTTGTAAATTTTAATTGTATTTAATTGAAAATTGTACATAGTGTAATTATACATAATTCAAAGTTTTTCGATCCAAAGCATAGCATACGTAACAGTAAAGATACTCACTGTACTTTAGTTTAATACAATTTTATTGCAATATTGTGACGTCCTAATATGTACGAGGGCATCTCTAAAAATTATAGTGTGATCTAAATTTCTATGTAAATTTTTCTTATTTATATATATTGTAGAAATAAATATTGTTTGGAGGTAAAATTTTATTGTTTTAATCGGTATTTATACACGTGACACAACATAATAAATAAAGAATTGGCAGTAGACTATATGTGATTTACCATTGACGTCTACCTATCCAGCTTGTTTTTATCAGATACATGGCTTCTTCATGGAGGTAGACACGTCGTAGCACAATGACGACAAACAAACTTTGACTGACAGTTAGTGCTTTTCCAGAATAAGGAAGTAGATTTCAGCAGTTTATCTTTATGCTGTATATGGTACCGTACTGCAGTATTACCCTATACCGTCATTCTATCTAGCTTAATGTTTTAAGGTTTTGTACGTGAGCATACGTTCCTTTTTAAATGAAGTCCTTTGAGTTTTTGTTAAACCTAATTAGAGATTACTAAAACCATCTATTTAAGCAAATTGTTTAATTACTTTATTAACACCAGTAACATAATCATATGAATCTGCCCCCGTCTATATGCAAGAATTGTATACTGCTTCTAGAAATTTGGAGAAACAGTTAAATGGCATGATCAACCCATCGCCCTTTAAATTGTTGGTGCTAGTTTACTCCAAATTTATAGAAACAGTAAAGTGCCCTGATTTTCTTGTAAAATACACGTATTGTAATAATAATTTAAAATAATAAATCTATTCTTATTTCAACAATCAAGTTGAAAAGTTGTCAATCTTATAAAGAACATTACTAATATATATTTAACTTAAGGAACAGAAAATAAATAATATGTTAGAATAGAATAGAAATAAACAATGTGCCGTCTTCTTGCAGGGTGGAGCACCGTGATCATAGTTGATTTTTTGTGCTGCTACAGACCCTAACCGAACAGAAAACATTCCGCTAATCGAATAAAAGACAAAATCTCAGCCGTTGAAGACCTCTTAATATTAGAAGAGGAAAGTAATTCTCGACCCAGTGGTCTCCTCCTGGGCCAGGTCAAGGCTGGACAGTCAGAGTGTATATGACTGGAAATCTTGTCTGCTTCTAAGCAAAGTGAATAATCTATCTCTTCGTGCAGACCCATTTTGTTAAGGCGATAACGCAGTCCATGGTGACCCGTTAAATATCCCGCCAGCAACCTCAACTCTGTTCTGCTGAAGTAGGATACCTTATCGCAACTGTATGGATGAATCAGTTCTTTAACCTGACGATTACCTAAAATGTCGCCCTACTAGCGATTTCTTTGAGTTGAAAACCATATGTTAGTTAAAACACTTTAAAAATTATTGTCAGTTTATAATTGAAATATTCAATAAATTATTGTAAAGTAAAAAAAACTATTTCTTATATACCAAGTAGTTTTTATACATATTAAACATATTATTATTAATACTAATATTATATTAATTTTATCCATCGCTTTATTAAAGGCAAAACATCTAGATAGATCAACATCTTATTAATAAGGAACGCGAAGTATGTATGTGTAATTCCATCATAAATTTGGTGTCATTCAACAATTTTAATCCAGTCTGTGCGTGATAACGTCACTGCTATCACTTGGGTCTATCAATTTTTCTAGCTTCACACCATGAGGTCTTGCAAATGAGACTATCTATCTTCTTTCAATGAAATCCTTTAAATCTTAAGTAAATCTAATAGGTTGCTATATTAATATATTTTAGTAAATAGTTTCGTAGATCTATCCTTTATGTATTTTATGATAGATTGTTTTCTTTACTCTTCGCCATCGTCATTATTTCTGAAATACCAATTGACCGTTATTATGCCATTGAGACTGATTTCCGCTGCTTTATGAAACGCAATGCATCCATAAAAGGCTTTGACCTGAAAGCCATTTAACCTCATAATTATTCTAAATGTTAGAAGCGTTATATAAACAGAAATAATTTATTTCAATTTCAAAAAGCTTGATAGTTTTTATAATAGTTGTGTTAGTTAAGCTTCATAATAAATTGAGCTCAATTAATAATAATTGCACAATTAAAAACGATGCGTTTACAAAAGGCAATAAATTATGAAACAACTCAAAATGTTAAGAAACAAAAAACAGTTTCTAATATATTACAAAAAAATTGTAAGTAAGATATAAATTAATTGAAATAAGTTTTTAAAAAAATAATATATAATATTAAATATTACAAACATATTATTAAATACAATATTAAATTAAATCTAATTCTAAAAATAGAATTATTTAATATTTTTCATTGTTTCCAAAAGTGTATTATATTATATATTATTTAAAATTTTATATTCAATACAATTATATTTTCGACATATTTTGATTAGTATTTGTTTGCTTAGTTAAGCTCTGGTATCACAACAGACCCGCGAAGTCTAAATTGATCAACCAGATCAAATTAACTGTCAAATTAAACTACTGTTAAATTAAATTAACCCACACACATAATTGCTTAGTCAATATATGTGAGGTTTGAACACAATTATTTCTAACATTTTTGTATAAAAATTGAAACTAATTTTTTTCAAAATATTCAAAATTAATAAAAAAATTAAATAATTAATTTTTAAATAATTAACTAAATAAATTTTAATTACAATAGTTTTATCATACTATTAGACTGTACAGCATTCTTTTATTTTTTAATGCGGGGTCACAGCAAAAATTTGAAAAAGTTGGTAATGTTATACAAAAGTTATATATTTTTAAATAATTCGTATATTAATTCGTATATAACGAAAATATTGTTTGATTTTTAGGTTATAAACAATAAAACCAAACTGTTTAGTTTTTAAAATAAAAATAAAATTGATTTAATAGCCGACAAGAAATTTTTAAAATAAAAATTAATTTTTTTTTATTGCATATATAACATATTAATAAAATTTTAACATAAGCTTAAACAAGAAATGTTTAATGAAATTGATTTAAAACATAAATCATTTTCAGCTATTGTTGACTTTTTAATGAAATAATGAAATACGCCTATCCCCTTTGACCTCTCTAACCCTTTTCAAGATAGTAATGTATGTTATTTTATTTGTTGCATTATAATTCAGCATATACATTTTAAATTTATTTATTAAAAATAACTAAAAACACAGAAATTAAGTTATTTGATTGTATATAATTATTATATATTTTATATTTATATATTTTTTATTATATAATTATTATATATTATATCATTATTATATAATAATAATGAAATACGCCTATCCCCTTTGACCTCTCTAACCCCTTTCAAGATAGTAATGTATGTTATTTTATTTGTTGCATTATAATTCAGCTTATGCATTTTAAATTTATTTATTAAAAATAACTAAAAACACAGAAATTAAGTTATTTGATTGTATATAATAATTTTTTAAAAAATCTTTAAAGAATATTAAAATTTAACTTTCGAAGAATAATGTTTAAAATTTGCATTGCTGTCTTCTTCTTACAAAATTTACGAACATTTCAAAATGTCAAACTGCCTGCTAATCTACTACAAAAATATGACACTCATCTGTTTGCAAAAAAGAAAATAAAATCATTTAATCAAAAAACTGTGAAAGACTAGAAAATTATTTTATTCTTTTGATCTTTCAGAAGACAAAATTATAGTTATGAAAATGATTATATCTTTTAATACAAATTAAATAAAAACAAATCAACATGTGGGTTTAAATAGCATTATAAGTAGAAACTTTAAAAAACAACGAAAATATCGCGTGCAAAAATTATGTGAATAAAATTTATATTTAAACTAATTTATGTGCAAAATTAATAAGAAATGAGTATGCGGCATATATAACTTTAATTTCATTTAGAAGCGTTTAAATAAATTTTTTTTTTATAACAAAATATTGTTTTCGTATGTTCGAATTTTATTAGGAAATTTCGGTGTAAATTATCTGATTTTTTTGTAGTTGATATAATTTTAAATTTCAGAAAAAAAATAAAATAGAAGTTTATATGCGTTTTAATCGCCCAACGAAAACGTTAAAATAAATCAAGCAATTATTTTACACAAATATCAATATCATTAATATTACAATTAATTAAAAAACATGGCTACCATGGGTGCTGGTACATTGGAGGGTACACTGAGCAAGTGGACCAATGTCATGAAAGGTTGGCAATATCGGTTCTTCGTCTTGGATGAGAATGCCGGATTGTTGTCGTACTATACGGTAAGTTGACCTTGAAAACTTCTTTCCAATTGCTTTAACATTGCCTATGTTTTATTAACCTTTTTACACTACACAACAAACTAATATCAAACTATTGTATTGTCGTTTTTCTAACAAATTAGTATCTTCAAATGTGAATAAAATTCATTTTTTGTTTTTTATATATGAAACAAATTGTTTATTTATATAATTTACAATAAAAATTCTAATTCTCGTGTACTTTAAAAAAATTCGACTCGTAGTCTTAAAAAAAGTTTCAATCTTATTTAGTAATCATCTGAGACTCTGTAAATAATCATCTTATAATTATATAGAACAAACATATTCTTTCTTTAATTACACAAACGAATGAATATTCAGTTCTGCAATATTTTCTTATCTATAAAAGAAAACTGAAATTATTTTTAAAATATTCGTCAACCAAAAACTGATATCAATTATCACATTTGTTTATTTATCTGTCCCTGGAAAAAAATATGCTTCATGAGATACTTCGTTTCTTCTTTCTTATGACTTGTGTTTTATTTCTTTTATTTAAATTCAAATTATTTTAGTATCAAATTATTCATTTTATTTTTGCTAATTAGATTAAGTTTCTACACAAGACAGTAAAAATGTCTTAAGCGCACAATAATTGCAAGTCAACTTTTTTTCATTTAATGCAGGCCTTCGTTCAAACGGGATTAAGTTCTTCCAAATATTATTAAATAGAAAGGAAATTTAATTTTAAAATAGACAAGCAGATAAAAAATTTGTGGTGTACACAATTTTAATACAAAATAATTTAATCATTTGCTATGATATCGTTTTTTGGTAGTATTGACCTCTAATCAGAAAGTGAATCTTATATAAAAAATCATAGTATACGTCAGTGCTTTAAAGCTTAACTTAAATACAAAACTTCGTGCAATTTTTGAATTGCTTATACAATTTTGCCTCTCCAAGCCTCTTTCCAATATTAAATGCGATTTATATTATATATGTTATAAGCCCATAAAAAGTAATCGAGAGGTGTTAAATCGTACAAATCAATGCGAAGAGACCAGTTAACAGGACCACTTCTGTAAATAAAGTTCTTATCAAATTGATTTTGCAATAAATCGAATGTTAAGTGCGCTGTATAGTATGTTGCACCGTTTTGTTGGAACTAAATATCGTCGATATTTAACTGCTTAATTTTAGAAAACAAAAATTCAGTCATCATAGCTCGATAGCGCACGCAATTCATCATAACGGCAGCTCTTTCCTCATTTCGAAAGAAATAAGGACCGATGCTGCTGCCAGCGTGTAAATCACTTGAAAAAAACAATTTTAATAGATGTCATGGTAATCGTTAACGGCTTGAGGATTATCTTCAACCCATATATGGCAATTTTGTTTATTGACATAGCCATTTAATCACAAACGAGCTTTATCAGTAAACACAATTCTTCGAAGAAGTGCTCTATAATCTTCGCGAACAGATTAATTTTTTTTCAAAATAAATTTCCAAAATTTGAAAGCGTTGTTCTAACATTAAATGATTCATAATGAATTGGCAAACCTTACTTTACAGAAATGTCGACACAGTTTAACATTCTCAGCTGTCAAACCATAGTTATCAATATTGATAATTATCATGCAGCTAAAAAAACACTATATTATTGGCATATAAGAACAACAGAGACCTTTAGCTGATGACAATATATTCGTTTAGTTTCTATTTATTTAATTTCTTAATTAATAGTCGTCTGGTTTGTAAACCAGACTTTCGTAATATAAATTAATTCATATCCAAATAAAAACACTTAATAGTTGCAATTCTGTAAATATCTTTAAATCTTCGTCATCATTTGCACCTAAAACGGTCGAAGTCTAATTACTTAGATTTCGAAAAATTTTGCAGGGGTTAAAAATTCATTCAATGTGCATGAATATATGTTAGAATCAATAATGGGACACTGCGACTTAAGAGAGGTAATGTGTTCTCCCTGAAGAGAGTGTCTAACCGAACACGGATAGTTTAAGTTTATCGAGAAACCTAACAATATCTCTAATACCTTATACAGTTTAAGTAAAATAGTGTCGTCTTCAAAACTAATGGACAAAAAATCGTATCGTGTTCGAAAAAAAATAATCACTTAACCCATTTCTCTTCTTTCCTCAACATTAACGCGGATCTCATTCCTTATTATCTGAATAATATGAAGTTCTACTGAGCGAAATAGATTTCTTACGTCTATCTTACAATGGAATACATACCTATATACTGGACCTCAAAGAAAAGTCTACTAAATAATTTTACAGACGAAAAACTCTGAATATGTTAATTAAGTCGTACAAAAATGAATAAGTCGTATAAAGGTTTTATTCCATCATTAAATTGGTGACTAATAATATATAAGTTTTCAGTAGGATCGTACGATATAGTAAGTTAAAGCTTTGTCATATATATGCTTGTTTTAGTTAAGTTTTTTTTAGAACTAAAAGCAAAACAATATAAACTGTAATGTCAGTTTTTTCGTCGAAAGTGACGCGAAAAAAAACTATTTAAAAATTAGAACAGATGTATCTGAAAAAAGAATAGCTTTGAAATAAAAATAGGCAACCTCAAGAATTAACTTTTAATTCGTTGAACTTGTGTTTCCGTGTAAAGATCTGGTTTATAAGCTCGATCTAATTTAAAGCACGATAAGTGCTTTGATTAGTGCCACTTAAAAAATAAAAAAAGAGTGATAAAAAATTTTGAATTTGAGTATTGAAAGCAGTCTTGACTTGACTATTTGTGGAAAAACACGAGTATAGTGCCTTGCAGTCCAAACAAATTATATACGGACTAAAAACTAATTAAAAAAAATTTGAATGTTTCCTAAGACCACTGATGATGAGTACTTAGCAATACTCAACACAGCGTTGTATGACCAGCGAAATTTAAATAATATAACTAAAATTTTTGTTGTTGTCTTTTCATTTCTATTCGAACCCTTCTAAATATAAATTATATTTCTTGAAATAATATTTATTTAGAATTTTAAAATTAGTTTTTATTTATAACAAATTTAATACTAAATTTTAATTCTCAATAATTATATATGTTATATATTCTTATACATTGATGTGATATCATTTTTTATTATAAGATTTTTTATAGAAATTATAGAAACCGTGATATATTACAATTACTACAATTGTATAATAGCCAACAATTATAGGATGTATTTGACATTTATAATATAAAACTACAACCTGCATTAAAATTAATGTAAATTGCACCATTTGAGTTATTGTAATGAATTTTTTGAATGGCAATAAAAGTTTTACAATATCTTTACTACATAATGCAGATGCTAAATAATACGTGTACATTAAAATATGGACATGAGAATTCAAGAAAATAGGATATAATGCGGATACACCTGAAAAATAAAAATTTTCTTATAAAATTCCCTTTTATTCTTAATAATTCGTACTCACCTCTATAATACGCAATCAGCACATATATCAAGGAGACTGTATTGCAATGGTGAAAAACATGCAAAAATGATACTTGTCTCTGGTTTTTACGTAGAACAAAAACGATCGTTTCTGATAGTTCACAAATTTTAAGCCAAAATACAAAATACATAAGACGATTAAATGCATACTCTTTGGGACTATTCGATGGAACTGACATACATTCCCAAAATTGATAAATTTTAAATGATGTTATTTCGTAAGACTGAAAAGAAATGTTTTAATTCAAAATAAAATGTCTATTTAATCTTAACTGTTATTACTTCTGTAAAGTTAGTAATTAAAAAACAATTTCTCAACATCATAGAGGATTTATAGCAATTAAATCAGACATTCCAAATGTTCTGATTACTTTTAAATAAACTTAATTTAAAAACTTAATTATTAAGTGATTGACTTCACTCACGCAAGCAGTTAGTGCTCAACTGAACTTAAGTGTATATAGTATATTAACGCATTGGGACGGATACATGTATTCCGTAGCTTACTTGAAAACTGAGAAAGCAGGTATGCGTCAATGTATTTATAAATTGTTTTAGAGCCATTAAAACTTGAACGCCAATACCGTAACCAAAGTATCAGCTAACTGCACTAAATAACGTAATAAATTCACGAAAACTTTATTAGGAAATAACTGTATAAATTTATTTAATGTTAAAAATTTATTATTTCTGTATTAATATTTAAAAAAAGTTAATAATTTAAGAGGAATTAGGAATTGAGTAAAAATTTTTATCAATTTATAATTTTCACCGAATGCTTACCATTTTAATAACGTAAGCACATGCTATTAATTGGGATACATTGTAGATTGTTATAAATATCTTCAGTTTATAAGCATCTCTGTTTTTCATATAACTGTAAGAATAAATAAAATATATATGAATTATATAAATACTTTTAATAAAATAAAACTTATGTTAAAATGCTTATATCTCTAACAAATATTTAATGAAAGTATATGTATATGGTATACGGGAATTTTCGGGCAGTAGTGAATCGCAACAACAAAATTTTATTATTTTTTATTTAATTGAATTTTTGACTGACCATACAGCTATTTTGAGTATTGCCAAATATCCATGATCAGTGATATTTTTGGAAATATTTTTTTTATTTCATTATTCGTAAATATGTTTTTAAACTACAAGTACTAAGTATTGAACTTCTACCCTGCCAAATTTATTGTTCAGAGTCAGTGTTCATTAGCCAACTGACTGGACTTGTATTTACTAACTTTTTTTGTGTTATCATAAATTAGCTAAAGAATAATTTAGTTAATTATTTATAGTTGTTTTTAATTGTTTGATTTTAGTTTTAACTGACATTAATGATCAAAAATTAAAATTAATCAATATTATAAAATTAATAATTTTGATAATGTTAGTATATGTCCTACACCGTCTTTTCGTTTGCCTGTTTCTTAATGTGAGTGTACAAATGTTTTCCTTTATCTAATTGAATGGAAATTTCTCTATGGACTTCTTATGAATCAAAGTAGATCATGT